CGGACATTTCAATGTGGTGTTGTCACTTGCACTTTTACAACAGATTCGGGAGAATTTGTAAACGAGTAAGTTTTTAAATTTTATGTGCAAAATTTATATGAATTAAAGTATTTATTACTTTTTATTAGAAATGACGAAAAAAAATTACAAGAATCAGAAAGTCATATTACAACGCCTACTACCAAAAATAATCAATCACAATATAGAATTATTTTAACACGCTCTCCTCTTCAACAATTATTCTTAGATCAAAAGCACTATGTATGATATTTTAATTTACTTTTTTGTTAGAATCAATATTCCTAGAATTAATTTCTTTGGGAGTTTTGTTAACTAAGTAATAAAGTTGACGATTTTCAAAAGACATAATATTATATACTACCAATTTTTTTTCAGTTCCACCACCCATAGTGGTACCACCAAAAAATAACAGAACCTAATTAAAAGGTCTATTAATATTAATATATGTAATAAAATATCCTTTTTAAATAAATTTACAAATTACCTGATCGTGATTTTTTCTTTCAATACTAGAAGTAGAAAAATATCGTAATAATAAGTTTTTCATCTTTAATTAGCGCATAAATTGATGCATGTGTTGTGCGAAAACATGCATATAAGGGGTTACATCTTGTTTGCGATATAATCCAGGTTTATGTGATATTGAATTGGGAAGTCCTTCAGTTGCACAATAAAAAGTACGGATCCATTGTTTGGCATCAATTTCAAACGCATCAATTTCTTGGTATGAAAGAAAAGGTTTTCTTAAAACTTTATAAAGCCGGAGAAATTCCTTCCATAGTTTTTCAATTTCTTGTACACAAGTGCCAGAAATAAATTGAGAAATTGGAAAATGTTCCAATACTTTCTTTTTATCAGGACCCATTAAAGAAGTCCAATCCCACTTTCCACTAGTAGATCTTGACTTGAAAAACTCAAAATGAACTTTAATGTTTTGCATTGCTTGTTCAATCTCTAATTTAATTTTTTTTTCAAACTCTTTTTTTTTAATTACATCATTAAAAAAGCATTCCATCAAAACATCAACAATGCGCAAAAGTAGATGTAATTCGTCAGGAATATAATTTTCTTGATTTATTGCAGGAAATAATGCTGGTTTTCTATTTTCACCTAATTATTAGTAAATATTCATAGTTTTAATTAATTGGTAATAAAATAATCATGAAAAAAAAACCTTTAACATTACAGGCATGATTTCCTGAATTTTCAAAATTTTGTTCCATATCCCAGCGTAACTCAGATTGACAGTTACAATATAAACAAAAATACTTCGAATTTGGGGCGTTCAATCCCATTATTATATACATAAACTTCCAGTCACCAGAAAAAAACAATTCCACTGGCCAATGATTCCCATCTTTATCATATATTCCGTTATTTTGGAGATCAAGAAGCTGATGTTGAAATAATTTTCCTATCTTAGCAAGGTCATCATATTTTTCTCGTCCAACATAAAGACAAATGCTAAAAAAAAAAAAATTTAATAATTTAAATTAATTTTTGGTTATTAAATCACAATAAATTTATTACCAGTATTGATGTTCCGGTTTTAAGACTTCTTCTCCTTCATTTAAAAGACAAATCGTCATCATTACATGGCTTTGCTTACGACCAACATTGCGACCATCTCCACCAAACTTAAGTTTAAGTGTATCACCAGAATTAATGATTGCAGGAGATGATTCTTTCCATAATGGTATTAAAGTTTGTAAAATCGTGTAAATTGACCTGTATGTACCATTTCCAATTTCTGCCTCATCAACTATTATACCATCATCAGATTCTAAATGATTTAACAGATCATTATCACTTTTATTGATGTTAAATGTTCCAATTCTAAGATCTTTATTAATAAGATTTGTAATTTCAACCCTACGATTAGCTATCAAATATTCACGTATAAGAAATGCTTCAACTGCAGCAAGCCGCCGATATCCATCACGTGCTAACAATGATTCATCACAAGCTCTAACAATAGCATCTATTTTTGTAAGTTCATTTTTATTATCAGGTAGATTGTAAGTTAAAATAATACTTTCGCCATTAAAATCCAATTCAATTTTATGAATATGAATAATTGGTTGATTAGTTTCATCAGTCAATTGATGTTTTTTAATCAAAGATCTAATTGCCTTTCCAGATTCTCTGCCTAAAGATGCAAATCTTTTATTTTGCCCTGAGATGGTTTGAATCGTTGTTAGAGGCCTTTTTCTTTTGTTAACTAATGTAATAGAAGCACCCATTGTTTCTAAGCGACATTCATGCAATCGTCCAATATCAAACCCAAAAATGTATACTCCCGATAAATTAGAATTTGAGCGATTATTTTTCTGTATAATTAATAAGATCAATAAAAATAATTATTAAAAGTTCAGTTTTGAAAAAAAAATAATAATAATACCTTTAAGAACGCATTAACAACACTAGTTGCAGAGCGATCACTGTATATACTCAACTCTGATCTATTTTCTTTCCACACAATTGTAAACCTTACTTTTCCATTTGGTTGATACTTTGTTTCACAACGGATCTTAATTTTAGAAACTTCAGTTTCAACACTATAGTTATCAGGTATTTGATATTGAATACAATCTTTAGAATTTTTTTGTGTAAGTTTAACTGGTGTTGGATAATATCCTAAAGACACTACTTTATACCAAAAATAAAAGGGTCGGTTTCCTGATATGTATTGTGATGTTATAAAAGAACTTGCAGGATATTGATAAGAAAAATTTCTCATAAAATAGCCATCTAAATAATATTTTATTAGAAAGTATTTGGTAATATATTAACTATATAATCCCAAGTTTAATTATAATTAAAGAAAAAAAGTACCGTTTATAAAAAATAGCGTTTCACTTTGGTTACTTCAGTTATTTTCTTGACTTGACCCTAACACATACGCCATTTTAATACAGAATACGCGTAAAAATATTTTATTATTACAAGCAAAACTAACTTTATAGCGAAAAACTTTTTAAAAGTTTTTTCCCTAACTCTTTGCGATGCAGCAAAAACCAATCTGAAACCAATTTGCAACTCGCGATTACAGTTGTTTTGATTTAACGAAGATTGGTTCTTCATGATAAAGTCACAAATTTTTACTATGATATGCAGCTTATATGCATAATAGTATCACGTTACACCTGATCTTATCACCCAAATTTACTATGTGATCAGATTCAAATCAGCCCATATGGAAAGATAATCTTACCGCCATTAGAATCGTCTCGTTATGATGAATCGAATGGTGGTAAATTCATTCAAATCTAATCACTAGATCGTGCTTCGACACCAAAATTTATTAAATGTTTATAGTAATTTTACTCCATTAATATCGGTGCTATAGAAATGAAACACATATCATTAGATTCGTCTCGATAAGATGAATCGAATGGTAGTAAGATCATCGAAATCTGATCACTATATCCCGAGATATTCGCAATTTCGTACTATTATGCAAATTTCAGAATTTCGGAATACGTAATTAATTACGATTTTGTAATTTTGGATTTCAGATTTGCCAATTGAATTTCGGAAACAATTATATTTTTTACACGAATTTATTGATGGAAATGAGCCATTCCAGCCTATTATAGACTTTGATTTGCCACGAGAGATATATAATTCTATTGAACCTAAACTAATAGGCAAAGAGATACAAAATTCACTTGTCTGCGCTTTTGCAAAAATGTGTAAAGATATATTTTCAGACTGGGATCGTAAAACTACAACTATTGCCAGTAGTAGTAATGCAAAAAAATGTCTCTCCATATCTTCACTTTCAGTATGAGACTTAAAATTATTGATGTTCAAGTTGCATTATTTACTGAACTTGTTCATAAGAAACTTTTAGCGTCTCTTCAGGAAAATAATATTATAAATAATATTGTAAATAAACGTTCATTTTCCTTGCGAATGCTTAGTTTGTTCAAGTACAATGAAAAAATAAAGAAGTACGTTCATGTGAAAAAAGCAATACATCCAAAAGATAGAACCATTTTTGACTTCATGATTCGCTTGCCAAATGATGAATTAGAAATCGCAGAAAATCCTCTCTTAATTGTTTCAAAACTAGAAGCTAAAGGGTGTAATGATACTAATGATGAAACGAATTAAGCAGAATTTGAATTTGTGAAAACGTTACTTAAAGATAATTGTGTCAAAGGGTATAACTCTCTCACCTTCCTCAAATAATATTTCAGACTTGTTCCTATTAATTTGCAACTTTCTATCATACTGCCCATTATGTAATCGGAAGCATATTAATAAAAATGTCTATATTATATGAAAAAATAAAATATATAGATTTTATTGCTACTGTGCCAATCAGGATCAAAAACTTGAAACGTAAAATCCTTCATTTGGGATGATCTAATTGACATGTGTGATACAAAAGAAAAATTCACTTGCAATACTATATACGAAGTCATTCAAGCAATAATAGCATGTATTTAAACTGATACAAAATTATGGGTATTAAAACTTAAGGATTCTAACATCGGGAAATTTTTTAAGATGCAGAACTGCAGAGATCTGTAAAATTAGCAGATCTCCGCATTTTTTTTGTGAATTTATGCGGAAGTCTGCGATTTTGCAGATTTCTGCTTTTTATTTTTTACAAAGTTATGCAATAATCTGCAATTTTGCAAGTTTCTGATTTTTTATGTATGAATTTCTGCAGTAATCTGCGATTTTGCAGATTTCTGCTTTTTTTTATGTGAAATTTATGCAGAAGTCTGCAATTTTGCAGATTTTTGCTTTTTTTTCATTAAAATATCAGTTCGATCTGCAATTTCATCATTGATTTAATATTTAAACTTTGNGTTATTTTGGAGATCAAGAAGCTGATGTTGAAATAATTTTCCTATCTTAGCAAGGTCATCATATTTTTCTCGTCCAACATAAAGACAAATGCTAAAAAAAAAAAAATTTAATAATTTAAATTAATTTTTGGTTATTAAATCACAATAAATTTATTACCAGTATTGATGTTCCGGTTTTAAGACTTCTTCTCCTTCATTTAAAAGACAAATCGTCATCATTACATGGCTTTGCTTACGACCAACATTGCGACCATCTCCACCAAACTTAAGTTTAAGTGTATCACCAGAATTAATGATTGCAGGAGATGATTCTTTCCATAATGGTATTAAAGTTTGTAAAATCGTGTAAATTGACCTGTATGTACCATTTCCAATTTCTGCCTCATCAACTATTATACCATCATCAGATTCTAAATGATTTAACAGATCATTATCACTTTTATTGATGTTAAATGTTCCAATTCTAAGATCTTTATTAATAAGATTTGTAATTTCAACCCTACGATTAGCTATCAAATATTCACGTATAAGAAATGCTTCAACTGCAGCAAGCCGCCGATATCCATCACGTGCTAACAATGATTCATCACAAGCTCTAACAATAGCATCTATTTTTGTAAGTTCATTTTTATTATCAGGTAGATTGTAAGTTAAAATAATACTTTCGCCATTAAAATCCAATTCAATTTTATGAATATGAATAATTGGTTGATTAGTTTCATCAGTCAATTGATGTTTTTTAATCAAAGATCTAATTGCCTTTCCAGATTCTCTGCCTAAAGATGCAAATCTTTTATTTTGCCCTGAGATGGTTTGAATCGTTGTTAGAGGCCTTTTTCTTTTGTTAACTAATGTAATAGGAGCACCCATTGTTTCTAAGCGACATTCATGCAATCGTCCAATATCAAACCCAAAAATGTATACTCCCGATAAATTAGAATTTGGGCGATTATTTTTCTGTATAATTAATAAGATCAATAAAAATAATTATTAAAAGTTCAGTTTTGAAAAAAAAATAATAATAATACCTTTAAGAACGCATTAACAACACTAGTTGCAGAGCGATCACTGTATATACTCCACTCTGATCTATTTTCTTTCCACACAATTGTAAACCTTACTTTTCCATTTGGTTGATACTTTGTTTCACAACGGATCTTAATTTTAGAAACTTCAGTTTCAACACTATAGTTATCAGGTATTTGATATTGAATACAATCTTTAGAATTTTTTTGTGTAAGTTTAACTGGTGTTGGATAATATCCTAAAGACACTACTTTATACCAAAAATAAAAGGGTCGGTTTCCTGATATGTATTGTGATGTTATAAAAGGACTTGCAGGATATTGATAAGAAAAATTTCTCATAGAATAGCCATCTAAATAATATTTTATTAGAAAGTATTTGGTAATATATTAACTATATAATCCCAAGTTTAATTATAATTAAAGAAAAAAAGTACCGTTTATAAAAAATAGCGTTTCACTTTGGTTACTTCGGTTATTTTCTTGACTTGACCCTAACACATACGCCATTTTAATACAGAATACGCGTAAAAATATTTTATTATTACAAGCAAAACTAACTTTATAGCGAAAAACTTTTTAAAAGTTTTTTCCCTAACTCTTTGCGATGCAGCAAAAACCAATCTGAAACCAATTTGCAACTCGCGATTACAGTTGTTTTGATTTAACGAAGATTGGTTCTTCATGATAAAGTCACAAATTTTTACTATGATATGCAGCTTATATGCATAATAGTATCACGTTACACCTGATCTTATCACCCAAATTTACTATGTGATCGGATTCAAATCAGCCCATATGCTTATATTATTAAGAATAAGAATTTGAACAATAGCATAATTGAGAAATTCAATGATCAAACGCTAACTAGCTATTGACAATAAATGAATCCAAGAAAATAGTGTTAATATTGTTACTACTGATTTTGATGTAAAACATATACATATTTGTAGTTGAACATTTGAAACTTATATATATATATTATAAATTTGATTCATGAATTACTTTAAGTCCTAGTATAATTTTTTGATAAACATTTTCTTTTATTTGCATAACTTAATATAATTATATAAGGCCACATGAAAAAAATGGAATGGTAAATTGCTATGTACGATATGTAGATTTTAAAAAGTAATTATGATAAATATATAAAAATATTTTATTTATTTAATTTATTTAGAATCTTTTAAAATATTATATATTGGTCTTCTTTCTGAAACAAAAAAATTGAAAAATAGTATTACACTTTTATTAACATTTAATGCAACTGGTTCAATTAAACTTCCAGCATGTACTTTTTATTTATAAATATCAAACGCTAAGAGATTTAAAAGAAATTGATAAATCAAAGCTTCTTGTGGATTATTATTGAAATAAAAGTGCCTGGATATAAACGTTTATTTGGAATAAATATTTAGAACTTTTAAATCAAAGAATAAAAAGGCAAAATAGAAAAATCCTTTTCTTGATAGACAATACACCAGTTCATTCTGTTAGTAATCTGAACTTGCTGACGTTAGCCGGCATTATTAATTCATTCAAGGTTTGTAATGATTTATTATAAAATTAAATTATAAAATTAATAGCACATATTCTAATAATTTATTAATCTTAGGCATAATATTGCAAAAGACTCAAAAAATAGAATTAAAGTTTATGATAATAATATGAAGTTAAATATACCAGTTCCTAAAGTGACTCTATTTCATTTTGAGCAAAAACTTGAGAAGTTGTAACAAGTTAAACTATTCATAATTGCTGATCAAAAACTGGATGTTGCCAATTTCACCTTCACCTTCATCTTCGCCTTTACCATTACCTTTTGATAAAAAACAAAATGATGATAACCTGAATGAAATAGAAAAGATCCAAAAATTATTGAATTAATATAGTAATTTTAGTAATTTTATTTTTAGTGGATTAATGAATGAGTGCTAAGAAATTTATCTTAATTGATGATGATGATAATTATGAGAGAGAATTGTAAATATAGTAAAACCAAATGAAATAGATCTTGAAGAAGAAGAATTAATTCTACAACCTAAAATATCCACTTCAAAAGCATTAGCATCATCAGACAAAGTATTATCTTTATTTTCTTGATAATCTATCTGATACTTTTATTATGGGATTTAATAATAGAAATATATTAAGAAACAAATTATTTGTTTCATCAATAAAATCAATCAGTATTAGATTACAGTTGGTTAAACATATGATGGATCGTGCATGACTTAATATTATAATAATTAATAATATAACATTTTATTATGAACATTTACATTTTATTAGTAATATAATTTTTTAAATATTTTATATCAATGTAATTTTTTTTTACATAATAAAAATTTTATACCGTGAATACTATATGAAAAATCACATGAATTTTTATTTTTACCTGTATATAAAAAAAATTTGATTTATCAAACACCTTCCATATACTGAACTTTTATTTCTAAAAGCGTTGAACTGGAAGTTCGCTTGATTGTATTTAATTATTGCTAATTATACATATTTAATTTTAATTTTTTTGACTAAAAAATTATTATTTAATTTTGATAACCAATTAATCTTTTAAAAAAATATAATTATATTATTTTATCTATATAGAATAATTATTAATTAATTTATATATTAAAGAAATTTATAAACTTATTATAATAATTTAAATGTAATAGGTTGATTTTGACTTTTTTTTTGCAAAAGTGTTAATTAATAGTTACCCTTTCAGGTAGAACTACTCTTACTTACAGTTTTTATTTCCTTGACTTAAAGTATAACTTACTAAAAGAGAGAGCCTAAGGGGATCTTATTTAGGATTAAATATTGCTTTTCTAACCCTTCCAGTTGTTCTGAATCTAATAGATTTCCCTTGCTGTTGCATTCCAAACTTCCCGTACATAAAAGTTTTGCTATGAATACAGTCAGACCTCTATAATTGCACTCTCCATAAATGCACCCACTATGTATACCCTCTCTAAATGCACCCTCTGGTTCGGTCCCAAGCTTATATGATCTCTAATTACTTTAAATGCACTATTTTGAAAATTATGCATATGGTCACAAGGGGTGTGCAATTATGGAGGTCTGACTGTAGTAGCAGTTATTAAATCTAAATAAAATATAACATAATTTTATTAACTTGGTCAAAATCATAACAATTTCATAATTTAAAATATATTTATGAGGTGCACAAAAGCTTAAATAAGGTGGTTAGAATTTAGGTAGAAAATTACATATACGATCATTTATCCATAACAAATATGAAAATTATGTTAAAAGAGGGCATAAGGTTAATATATGAGTTTAATTACAAATTTGAGAGAGATCACATAAATTTCATTAAGATCATTAAGATGTGCATGCAGATTATAACTCATTAATTTAAATTATAGAATTTAAATCAAAATCGTTGATTAGCAATAAGATTTAAAGCACTTCCCATTTTAAACCATTCAATTTGATCCTTTGACATCGTGTGCTTAGTCACAACTTCAAATTCTTTATCAGTTTCATGCTTTTTAACCCTAATAATAACGTCTTTACCAGGTTCCAATCCAACAACCCCAACAGTTTCGATTATATCTCCTCCAGAAAATAATTCATAATCTTTTTCATCTTTAAATACCAAAGGTAATACTCCTTGTTTCTTTAAATTTGTTTCATGAATACGTGCAAATGATTTGGAAATTATTAATGGACAACCCAAGTATCTAACTTGTAAAGCGGCATGCTCTCTTGCTGATCCTTCCCCATAATTATGCTATAAGAGAGAATTATTAAATTATATGTTATTTCTCTTAAATGAAACATTATAAAGATATATATAAACTTACATCCGCTACGATTATCCATGGAACATTATTTTCTTTATAATATCGTGCAACTTCTGGTATATTTCCATCCTATATTAAAACAAATTATAAATGTTTTTTGTTTATCCAAATTTAATTTACACCAATTCCAAATTCACAAACATTTACCTTTCCAGTCAAATCATTTTTTACAACATTAATTTTTTCATTATCAGCATTTAAAGCTCCAATTAAAGTGTTGTTTGATATATTTTCTAGATGTCCTTTATATTTTAACCAAGGTCCAGCTGCTGATATGTGATCTGTTGTACATTTTCCTTTAACTTTAACTAATACCTTCAATTCCTTAAATTCATTTCCATGCCATGGGGAAAATGGTTCTAATTTTTGAAGTCTACTAGAATTTTCTGGTATAGTAATTTTCGTTGATGAATTACCAACTGTAATTATCGGTTCTAAGTCTTCGTTGCCTATATAAACATGTAATTTAATTGTGATTCAACAGGTTTCAATAAATAATGTTAAAACATTTTAAACGAACCATCTGCAAACCCCTGATGTGGTAATTCATCGCCGTGTGGACTTTGAAATTTAAATGGTTCACCATCTTTATCTATTAGAGCGTCAGTCATGGGATTAAATGATAATTTTCCAGCAAATATCATAGTTGTGACAATCTATAAGTAATAAATAGATTTTTTTTTTTTAATAAATATAGAGGAAGAATAGATCATTTAGAATATAATTTACCTCAGGAGATGCCAGGAAATTCATTGTATTAGGATTATTATCATTTCTGTTCCTAAAATTACGGTTAAACGAAGTGAGAATAGCATTTTCTTCATTTTCTTTAATATCGGTTCTTTTCCACTTAATAAAAAAAGAAAATCCTTTACATTAAGAAAATCTTTTCTCTGTATAAGAAAGATAAATAAACCAATTATAAATTCATAATTACTTGACCAATACAAGGACCACAAGCATTTGCTAAAATTTTACCACCAACTTGTTCTAATATTTCAGTTTGACCATCTCTTTCCATTGTAGCCCTTATTTGTTCACTTCCAGGTGTTATAAAAAATTTTCCTTTTGGCTGTATTCCTTTATCCAATGCCTGACTGGCTAATGAAACAACACGACTCATATCCTATATTATATTAACATATTAAGAAAAAAGTTCAAAATCGATTAAAAAGCTAGATCAAATACTTACTTGATAACTACTATTGGTACAACTTCCAATCAAACCAGCTTTAACTTCATCCTTCCATCCATTCTTTGCAACAACTTCAGCAAATTTGCTTATCGGAGTTGATAAATCCGGAGTAAAGGGTCCATTAATATGAGGTTCAATTTCTGATAAGTTCAATTCTATATATTGATCGTAATGTACATTGCTATCAGCTTTAAGGTATGAAGCATTTTTTAATGCTTCTTCCGCAACTGTGTGTCTTCGTGTTTCCGTTAAATATGAATACATGCTATTGCTAAATGGAAACACAGTAGTTGTCGCACCAACCTATTTAAATTTATATATGAATAAGAACTACTTTGGTTACAGGAATAAAGAATACATGAATATTTACTTCAGCTCCCATATTAGATATAGTAGCCATTCCAGTGCATGATAATGTGTCAACTCCTGGTCCAAAGTATTCAAGAACATGACCTGTTCCTCCCTATAATCAGTCAACATATTAAACCATAATTCAAAAAGTAATTCTGCTCAAAATCTCGCATCTTGATACTTACTCGAACGGTCAACTTTCCGGCCAGATTTAAAATAACATCTTTCGGACTTGACCATTTGGATAAACTTCCATTCAATTTAATACCAATGATCTTTGGAGCCTTAATTTCCCATGGAATATCTGCCATTGCATCAACAGCATCAGCACCACCAACTCCTATCGCAACCATACCTAAGCCTCCAGCATTCGGTGTGTGACTATCTTTAAGAACATGAAATCGTTTAGAATTTATATAAATTAAAAATCATAAAATTAAAAAATCAACCAACCGGTTCCAAGCATAAGTCCACCAGGTGCCGCATAATTCTCTAATACAATTTGATGAATAATACCACTTCCCGGTTTCCAAAATGCTATACCATATTTTTCAGCTGCACTTTGTAAGAAATCAAAGATCTCTTTATTGGAAATTTCTGCAGCCTAACGATAGTATAAAATAAAAGAACTAGAAATAACAGATAAATAATTTAATTTTAAAATTGTCAATACCTTGACATCTTTATTAGCTCCTTGGAACGCCTCAATTAAATGATCACAATGAATTGATGCTGGGACGGCAGTTGTTGGCATTCCGGCAAGCATAAATTGCAGAATTGCCATTTGTGCTGAAGCATCTTGCATAGCAACACGATCTAATCCATCATAAAGTCACGTGAATTTTTTGGAAAAAACTTTTAATAAAGAAATAAAAACTTTTTACCAGGTTTCAATTTTAAATAAGTTTCCCCTCTAACAATTCCACCATCATATTCACGAGGATCATATAAATGAGAATATAGTATCTTTTCCGCTAAACTTAAAGGTTTATCTTTAAGTATCTTTTGTTGAACAAAAGCCAAATTTTGAGTTAATTTTGTGTAAGGAGGAGTAATGTCAGTACAATCTTTTTCAGGGGGTCGATTAACCACCGATGCCATGTTCCTAAAATGAGATGGTGTTGATCTCTTTGATAATAATGTTGACCTAATATGAGACAACTTTTTTTTCGTATTATAATTTTCGAAATTAGTTTAGTTGATCATCACATTAATTATTAACATTTTGTTTTGAATACAAACTTCATATCTTTTGGATAAAAATAGGGTTCTATTGAACATTTTCTCTTGAAATTGGTTTTTTTTTTTAAAAAAAAAAAGAAACGAAAAAAGAGTATTTTTGGGAATTCGATACTACTGTACCACCTTTTATATGATCATCACATCTAAATTCATTGGAAAAATTTCACATGTTACATTTAATACAATTTTGTTCTTATTTAATGAATCTGACATTGCTTTGAAAATTGTTAATTTTTCTTGTTGCCACGCATAAAATCTTAGCAATTTAACCAACATAAGAATGAAGAAGCATATAATTTTTTTATTTTATAGAATAAAATTTCTATATTCACATTTAATTGATTTGTTCGATTGTCATTGCATCATTTACATGCAAGCCAATGGAATTTTTGAAATCAATTTGGTATTACGAACAGCCACATCTCTTATTTACGTAACACGACTTCGAAATTCTTTTGAATTCCATACAACAATTAACAGTAAACGTCAACATTCTCTTGCTGACAACTGCGCCTGAACTTCATAACCCCTTGCATAAATTTTCTGAGGACCCACCTATCGGTCAATTTGACAGATAATCGACGTTCGGTGGATATACTCGGATGAAATTCCTAATCGAATCAAATAACGGAAAGATGCCAATTTAAGAATATCCCGACTATCTGAAAAAAGATTAGTAAGATCATTGTAAGTTAGGTGTTTGTGTGATTAAATGAGGTTATTAAAAAAAAAAAAAATGAAATAGTAAAACATTAGCTGCATACAATGAAAACCTCCGACAAATGAATGGTTACAGATTGATTAAATTGTAACCGATCAAATATTTGTTAAATATTAATTATATTGATAAGATTATCGAAAATTTTAAGAATTTCCTTATCAGATCGTTAATCGGTAAAACAAATAAAATATTGTCAAAAAAAAAAAAAATAACTAAACCTTGATATTAATAAGTATGTAAAATTAGAATAAAATTTATAGGGGAAAAATCTTAGTAATAAAATTAGTAATTATGATGTACAGGATGTACTGTACATTGAATATATGTTGTGTCAGGATCTGAAGATGTAATTTCTGATCATCTCTTAATAATATCCCTTCTCATACTTCTCAAATACTTATTAAATTATTTCTTCAATTTCCAAGTTTTTACTCTTGCAAATTTCATATGCAAGATCGTTTTTTATATTAATCACAATGACTTCCGAAACCGTAAATATCGGAACTCTTTCGGTATATTTCCTCTTTTGAAATTTCAGGAGAAACACAAGGTAATAATACATTGTAATACCTCATGGTTAATGTAAACCAATCAGATAACCTCATGTACGAAAATCCTTATAATCTTTATGTAGCAAATCGTTTATGTGAGTAACTGCTAGCCCGTTAAAAATAGAATATGATTGGTTGCAATCATTCAAGTAGAAAAAATTTTTTTTTTTTTTTTTTTTTTTTTTTATAGAAAAAAAGTCTTTTTAAATCGCTCTTTTTGCATACTAAACGCATAATGAGTTCCCCAAGTTTTAAATCTCATTCATCTGCATCTGAAACTAGAGTCAATAAAAATGTGCGATGATATCATTTTGATAAGCTCTGCATCGTTATGTAATTTTTTAAATGTAAATAAGGAAATTTGACCAGAATTATTCTTAACGTCGGGTAAATTTTTTCAGTAATTTACGTTACTTATGAATGCTTTGCATTACATGCATAATTACATTGTGCACGAGCAGCTTTTTTTTCGCCTTTTAAATAAATAATATTGTTATTTTTTCCCAAAAATTTGACTATATAAAGAATTCTGTAAAGTTGTCGCTCATCAGCATATCCCCCGAATAAGTTATATGAACTTTACTACGTAGTTGCATTAATATCTAACTAAATATATTTTAAGGTTCATAAAAAATATTTTGGCGGATGTAAATGATTGAATTAGCAAGTGTCAATCAATTTAGCCTGGTATCACATATTGAAGTTTCCTATTATGAGTTAGATGGCTTTATAATTTTCCAAACAATATAAATAAATGTTCAATTTTATTTTATATTTAAAATTGCGAAAAAAAAATTTTTTTTTCATTTTCATTTTTTTTTCCAGTAGTTCGCTTTTAAATGTCATTTCTATAGACCTTTGTTACATGTTAAATTCCATTTGATCCTTAGAATAGAAAAAAATATGACAACTTACCCAAATTTTGACAATACGGGTCTAAACTCGAATTCTAATGAAGTTGATCTCGAGTTTTATCATGGCCTGAATTTATTTTTTGATCCTCAACAAAGACAAACAACAAATAACAATAGAAATAATGGTTCTGCTACTGCTAATCAATTAGTGTCGTCAGCTAACTTGACTTCACAACCTTCTCATAATTACTATGCTAATATGTTGCCAACTCCCGAAGGTTCAGATGCAATTATGATGTCTCCATATGTGTTACCTGGTTCTGGAAACTTGAATACTTATAAAGACGATGAGGTTAGTTTATTATTATTTTTTTTCTTATTTATTGGTTCTATTTCACTTTTTTTTTCTTCTGCAGAGAATAACGAGATTTTATTCGTCTAAATATTTTTTATAGTTCATTTTGGACAATTTAAATTTCATCCTATCTCCTCAAATTTCGCCTACAATATCTCCCGATGCATCTATGAACATCACTTCTTCGACTAGTCATCAGAATAAAAAAATAAAACATCACAGGACTTCTCCGAACATTAACAATCCTATATCACAATCTAGAAGAAAATCACTTATAATTAATAGTAATAAGAGTAATAGCGACAACGGAAATAACAGTAACAGCCCAAATGGACAGTATAATGTGAACACAGATTTACCAAGTATCATAACAGGTTCGCCAAATAAATTGCATAGTAACTCAATAATGCTTTCATTGTTAGAGTTGACGTCTCCTTTGATGAATAACATGGTTGCAACTTCAATAGCACCATCATTACAAGAGGCTATGCCAAATTTAAGCCTTGGAGGTAATTTGGTATCAGATGCAACGAATACGCATCCTCCAGCAAGTATTAGTGATTCATCAGACAAAATATCTCCAATCACGCCCTCTTCTTTAATGAAAATGAAAAGGAAACTACCGAATTCGCCAAAATCAGGTCAAAATGAATCAAATTCTAACTTACATCATCAACAACAACAGCAACAAAATCAGCAAAATAGTCAAGATCAATCTCAACAAATGCAACTTTCTTCAAAAGATGATGACTCCACTTTCATTGCACCAACACCCCCAACGCAATTAAATCAAATTCGTACTAATGTTGTTAATACAGGATCAGGTAGGATTGTTCACCATATATTATGATTCCTCCAATTATATTATCTAACTCATTATGAATGTCCTCAAATCATTTTAGCTTCTCCGTCCTCTGCATTGGGTAGAAAATCAATTCGCTCAAATCCAAATGCTTCATCTCCATTGGCTCTTGGACCTTCAAAAAGTCCTCACTCATTAAAACCAACTATAAGTCCGAGTCTTAAGCCTAAGCTACCAGGTGTACTAGCAGATGAAGTCGCTGAACAATTGGCAAAAAAATCAAATTACAGAAGCATTCTAGAAGGAACAGCTAAGTAGGGATTATTTAATAATTAAAGAATTGTGTTTTTAATTTTAAAAAAATTTTATTTATATTTATCTATTATTGTAAAGGTCCCTCGGAATTTCATATTCATCAGATGTGCATTCAAGTTTAGAATCACGACGTACAACACATAAAGCTGCCGAACAAAAACGTAGAGATTCATTGAAACAGAGTTTTGATGAATTAAAAAAAGTTGTACCTTATCAATCAACGTTAAATAAAAGTAACAGTAACAGTGGTGATGTAAAAAATAACGATAATAAAAATAATATTAATGGAAAATCTGATGGATCTATGAAAAACGTTAGCAAGTTGTTCTTATTAAAGAGAGGTAAGCCGAAATACATAATAGTGACTTGAATTTTTTCCAGTTACAGCATGTTTATATATTTATTATATTTATTTATGGAATAGCACATGATTATATTGTGGAACTTGAACAAAAGTCCAAAGTTAAGGATGAACTTATTCAAAAGTTGAACGATGAATTGGATGAACTTAAAGGAGTAAAAAGACGAAAAGTAGAAGAAACAGAAAAGAAGGAGAATGCTGATAATGAAGTAGATACAGAGACGAAATCGAAAGATGAACAGCAGACAACTTCTCCCACTGAATGTTAACTTAGGAAAAACATTAAGATTTTTTGATTTAAAAAAAATATGTCATTTTATTATTATGAATTCAACAAACATACTCTTAAGACTTTTTTCCAATTCTTACGAATTTATAAATACTTCTACATAGGTTTGCATTATCACATATACAATTTAATATAACGAATTTTTCATTACCATCAATATGATTAAGAATATTGTAAATAGAAAACAAGGTTGAGACTTCAATGTTAAAAAAATTATACATATAATTACAGTATTAAATATAATTTACGAATTTAGTTAGTTTATTGAGTCATTTATTTATTAAAAGATTAAAGTTATAAAAAAAAAAGAATCAATATCATCTAAAAAGTTTTTCTTTTCCAATTTTTTTTTTGTTTATTATACCAAGTTTTTTTTTTTAAAAAAAAAAAGGAAAAAAAAAGATTTTTAAAGTCTTTATAATACCAGCAGTACAGTAGAAGAATTATTTTTCTTTTTTTTAATTGTTTGGAATAAGTTTTTAAGGTGAGTATATCAATATTGGTAGCTGGTTGGTTATAAGAAATAGAAACAAATTAAACAATTGCTAATATTTTTTTTTTGATACACAATTTAAATCACATGAAATTGCATTGAGCAAATTATCATTCCTGTATCAATATCTCATTGGATTTTTATTTGTCACTCATTATACACTATGATTATCACCGGAAACAACATATAAAGATCAGAAATAAGGTTACGAAGTACGGTACATTCCAATTCAGATTAGTAGGATTGAAGAGTATTATATAATGAAAAAATGTATTTGTAACAGCCTGTTACATATCTTATTTGTAACATCCTTTTTTTGTTTTTTTTTAATAATAAATTTAATGTGTTTCACAAATAAAATTTTTATATGCAAAATTTAATTTGGAAAACTTTTACTTAATGTACTTAAGACAGTTTCATAGACAAAATTTTAAGTTATAAGCAGTTTCTTGAAATTTTTTAAAAAATTCTTTTGTCTTAGTTACACAACTGATCTTTTTGTTTTTGTTTACATTACGCCCGATCTTAAATTTTAATTGGATAAAATTGGGGGTTGTTACAAATAAGACGTGTAACAGGCTGTTACAATTAGATTTATCCTTATATAATTTCTGGGAATTAAAAATGGTAAACCGATTTTGTGATGGAAATTCATAGATATCTGAATTACTATTAGAAAACTGCTCACTCTATTCACTTTTATCGCTTAGCTTAGATGGTTACCTTTTAAGTATTTTGTTTTTATAAATGTTTAGTTGTTTATACTTAAAAAAATGTTAGTTTAACTGAAACTAATGAATAAGTTAATTCAATCAATAGTTTAAGCAATAAACAGGCATCTGACTTATAACACAGAAAATGAATACCTAACGTTTGATGGATGTTAGTAAGACAAACATACAGAGAACGAAGCGCAGAAAAAATGAAATTCTTTTACATGATCCTTATCATCTTGGGTACTTAGAATTCAGAATAAAAATTCGGTAGATAACCTATTATTATGCACAGATTTTGCACAATTAGGATTCTTTATTAGTTATCAACTAGAAATAGTGAAAGAGGTTTATTTTACTAATTTAATCGGTTATGCTCAAATGAAATATTAATATACCAGACCAGCAGAATGACTAATAATATATTACTTATGATAGTGATTTAATAAAAGGCTTTTAATTCAGGATTATTTGTGTTAAAATTAGATCCATTTTTGAAAACTTGCAAAGTAAATTATTAGTGAAATTGTCAAAATATTTTTGGAATTAACCAAAACTACTCTGGCCAAATGGTAACCGTATTTTGATTTGTAATATTTAACCTTTTGACCTTCTGGTTCTTATTTTTTACCTTAAGAAGTAAAGTAGTAAAATCATTATATCATAACTTCTGCTATCATATCATCAGTTACTGCTTTAATATTATTTACAGATATATATAATGGTTATTATCTTTTAAAAAAACAAAATCACTCTTATTTTGTAAAAAAAAGGAAATTTAAGTTGACTTAGAAGAATTATTGGATTTATTTACTTAATATTCAACTTTAAACTTTCAATTTAAATATGCTAATTTTGTTATTAATGTATTGGTAAAATCTACTAGTTCTAAAAAAGAAAATGGCTACATAAATTACATTTTATTTTGGTGTATTTTTTTTATTATTAATAATTCTATTAATAATCTCTTTCTTATAATAAATTCTAAAAAAAACAGATAAGGTTTTTAGTTATAACAACATGAATTCTACCTTAATAATGTTAGTATTTACAATTATAGTACTAGTTGCTGTACTATATATTTGTGACTAATTTTTTTTTTATACTGTATATAGAAGTAATCGCAATCTATGCTGTATTAAATGCATTTTTTTAATAACTGAAGTATATATATATATTTTACAATCTTCACTAATTCTTAAGTAAAGTCAAACTACTATTAGAAATGGACATGTTATATAATAATAATATATATAATGTTCTTAATAAGTTCAAAAGAATGTTCAGATAGTCTTGGTTTTAGGCGTGTATAAGGATGGCTCTGAAATTGATTTGGCAAAAATCCGAAATCTGAAATTCCAAATCCAAAATCTGAAATTTTTCCGAAATTAATTCATAATTTCAGCTGAATTCATAATTCCGGCCAAAATTAATTCATAATTTCAGACGAATTCGTAATTCCAGCCAAAAATCGTAATTCCGGTAAAAACGGATATGTCGATCATTTCTATATTTGGGGGTCATCTAAAGTGGAGGCAAATCACGTGATACAATTTTGGAATTAGCCAGAAGTTTCCCGTGATCTCTTGAAAATAACAAACGATTATTGGTTTAATTAGTATCAACATTACAACATCGCGCATTTTACTCATTTTCTAAGTAAAAAAAACTTTTCACTTTATTATGTCTTTTCCATTAACTGTTACTCCTGTGTTTTCAGCTCCCGCTCCTTTAATTATAATGTCAACATCAAATTTCACACCAAACGAAAAGCGGGATCTTCTTTTTGATGTAAACCGTACTTTAGAAATCCCAATGGAGGTTTTTAATGACAAGTGGTGGCCGTTAGTTTTAAATATTTGGATGAAATGGGACTCGTATGAATATGTAAATGGTGATATTCAGAAAACTTTTGCCTGTCATTTTATAAAGCACCGCAAATCAAGTACCCGAGAAAAAGAAAATGTTCTAAATGAAAAATGCCAAATAACCAAGACACGACCACCTGACGTATGTTCTGTGATGATTAAAGTTTTATGGATAGCTTCTTCAGAGGTAGTTCAAGTAGAGCGATATAAAAACTCTCCCAACCATACACATTCTTTATCAGAAGTTGATAGGCTGAAACGGCCAAAGTCATTAGAAATTTAGTTGAAATAGAAGTGGCCAAAAATTATCCTCCTCCAGCTATCACATCTGCCGTCAAAGAATACGCATCTAAATAAATTATTTACCAGCATATAAATAATATTTTAATAAAAAAATATCAATTTTGTGATTGTTCCACCTCTTGTATTGAATAATTATAGCATTTTTAAAGGTCAGAATCCAGCGTCGCTAAAGAAAAAATTTTTTAGCTAATCATTCAATGTAAAAATTTTTGATGGATCTTGATTCCTTCAGTTTTAAGCAATTGGTTACACTATTTTTCAGCCAGGTTGTAATACAAATTTGGCTGGTTACTTTTTAGGTAATATCGCCAATTTGTATAATAACATAACCTTAAATGGCAAGTATATGTTGATCAAACTTGTGATATTAATATTTGACGATACAAATTTATCATTCAATATACTCAGAATATTATTATATAACACTTAAAAAAAAAAAATTCTGGGCAATTCAGCTCAAAAGCCATTTAAGAGATAATTAATTTGTAAAACCAGTTCTCCAAAATTTATTAGTAATTTTCACTGGTTTGGAGACAGATCACGAATTAAATATTGTAATATAAAAACTTTAAAAATGACTTATATATCTAAAGAATTTTTATAAATTTAATAAAAAAAATATTGTAAAATAGAAGAATAGAAAAAATTCCATTTAAAACTTATATTAATTTAATTAAAAGTATATTGTCACCAATATCTGTACTTTTTCTAATATTATATATGCTTGATTTCTTATCTTTCTTTTTTAACAATGCTACTTTAACTTTACAGAAACTTTAAGTTTTTAAGTGATATCATTTCGATATCATTTTAATATCATTTCAATATAGATTTAATATTGATACAATATCGAAATAAAGTATTATTATTTTGATATCATTTCAATATTAAATCAATATCGAAATGATATTGAAATGATAATTAAAATGATATTGAAATGACATCTTTAAATTCATCAAATACTGGCTGATGTGCGTCCCGGGATAACTTGACCATCCACAGAAATTGGACTCAGTTGGAGTCAACTCTTCACATCAATATTCTGGAACTGAAGGCGATTCAGTTCGCCATTCTCGCGTTCAAGGAGCTAGTGAATCAAACGATATTGATTCGAACAGACAACACGACGTGTGTAGCTTCTATCAACTATCAGGATGGGACGATATTTCCAGATCTCTCAAAGATCGCAGAGAATTTGTGGATATTATATCTGAAACGCAATCTAAAGTTGATAGCGAAACACATTTCCAGCATAAAAAATGTGGAAGCGGATCTAGCATCAAGGATAATGATCGAAAAGAACGAATGGAAGTTACATCGCAAAATCTTCAATGTATTCAACAAGATATGGAGTCCTTATCAATTGGATCTATTTGCAAGCAGAACCAACACCCAACTTCCCCGTTATTATGCATGGAAAACAGATCCGTTTACCGAAGGGATGGATGCTTTTCGGCAAAAGTGGTCCAAAATGAAACTATGGTCGAACCCTCCTTAGGTTTTTATTCCACAGATACTGGCAAAACTGATTCAGAAAAAGGCTTCTATGACTATTCTGGTTCTGATATGGCCGTCAGCCCCATGGTTCCCGTTATTAATAAGCCTATTAATAGATCTACCGATATTGATTTGCTCCAACAAAATTCTTTGCCCATCATCACCTCCCCAAATACACCACTTCGCAATCCACAGTGGAAACTGCTCGCTTGCAATATTTCTGGACTAGGAACAAAGACAAAGGCTTTTCAAATAAAACTATTAACTTACTCTCATCGTCAGTGGATAATAGATCTTCAAGAACAGTGTCTTCAGCTATTCGAGTATAGGAACATTGGTGTGACTCACAACACGTCGATCCCGTTACTTGCCCTATAAATAAGATTTGTGAAT